GGCACATTAACAGGGAGCTGGATCAAAAGTGGAGCAGTTGAAACTCAAAACAGTGTTCTGATAAAGAATTCTGGGGTCACAAGCATTCATTTAACCTGCTCACTGTTTTTCTGTTTTTCAAAATACGCGGAACTCCTTCCTCCTGTAGGTCCTTTGCATTTTCCTGTTTGTCTCGTCTAGAATGTCTGACTGACTAGCTGCATTTTTCAGATGCCAGTTCCATCATCACCTTCCGTAAGAGGCCCTTTCTGATTTCCCTGACTCTTCCTTTTTTTAAGATTTATTTATTTATTTGAAAGGCAGAGTTACAGAGAGAGGAGAGGGTAGGAAGACACACATAGAGAAAGAGAGATCTTCCATCTGCTGGTTCAGTCTTCAAATGGCCATATTGGCCGGAGTTAGACTAATCCAAAGCCAGGAGTCAGGAGTTTCTTCCAGGTCTCACATGTGGGTATAGGGATCTGCTTTCCCTGGTGCATTAGCAGGGAGCTGGATCGGAAGTAGAGCAGCTAGGACTGTGGCCCATATATGGGATGTTAGTACCACAGGTAGTGGCTTTATCTGCTATGCCACAGTGCCAGCCCCTCCCTGACTCTAATACCCCCTCCCCAGGCATTCTTCATTTCTTCATCTTTAGGTTGTTGCTTCAGAATTTATTATTTGCTTAGAACTTGCAGTACAGTATTTTCTAATTCTGTCATTCCTCTGCGTTTATTAGCAGAAATTAACCTGTAGGCTAGAATTTAAAGCAGAGACATTAAACCTGATTATATTCTCTTTTTTCATTTTTTTTTAATTTAAGAGAAGTAGATTAGTGTTCTAGTAGCCTTTAGTAGTGACCAGTTATAGAACTACTGTTATGAACTATTGAACTTTGTACATTTGATGATTTTCCATCAACTGCACAGTTTTTTGCTCATTTTGATATTGTTAGTTTTTGGACAGATGCTTTACTTTTTGACAAAATGAAATGAACAAGATTATTTTGTATATTTTCCAACGTAGGTATGGAATGTCATTTCTCTAAAGAATTCTGGTTTCCATTAATGGGAAATAGTTTAACAAATACTTGATGGTATAAATGAATTACTAATGCTGGTATGCTCCTTAGCACAGTGCCTGGTATTTAGAACATATAAGTATCGGTTCTCATTTTCATTTATGTTCTCATATTAATTAGTCCAGAGCAATGATCTCAAAAGTGTGGTCTCTGGACCAAAAGCCTCAGTATAAACTGGGTAAATTTTTGTACCTCAAACATTTTGAAAGAGAAACTGCAGCTGAAACCAGAAATCTGTTTTACCAAGCCTTCCAGGTGATTTGGATAAACATAAAAGTTGAGAATCTCTGTTCAAAAGTAGAAGTTCTTAATTTGTCTGGCGAGAGTGGAACACAGGTGTGCTGAGATAGTTCCTTAGTTGTGCAGTACCCCAGCCTACAGCACTTTGTCAGTTTGCTAATCTTTTCAAATATTAAATATTCTTTATAAAATATGAGAATGAGATATAACTGGAATGATCCACTTATGAAATAATCTTGTTTTTCTAGCCTTCTAAGGATATAGAACATATACATATGTGTTTCGGCCAGCGCCGTGGCTCACTAGGCTAATCTTCCACCTGCAGCGCCGGCACTCTGGGTTCTAGTCCCAGTTGGGGCGCCGGTTCTGTCCCGACTGCTCCTCTTCCAGTCCAGCTCTCTGCTGTGGCCCGGGAAGGCAGTGGAGGATGGCCCAAGTGCTTGGGCCCTGCACCCGCATGGGAGACCAGGAGGAAGCATCTGGCTCTTGGCTTCAGATCGGTGCAGCACGCTGGCTGTAGCAGTCATTTGGGGGGTGAACCAACAGAAGGAAGACCTTTCTCTCTGTCTCTCTCTCTCTCACTGTCTAACTCTGCCTGTCAAAAAAATAATACATATGTGTTTCAAACATTTATATCCTTTTATATCCATAATACTGTATGGTAAGCTGTTAGCACCCTTTATATTCTAGAAAGAACTCATAAATAATAAGTTTAAGAAATGATGTGTATTATACCTGCTTCTCTTGGAATTTCCATAAACAATACTTATGTATCAAAATTGGAGAAAATCTGCAGTAAAGAAACTTTTAAAACTTAGTTTAATTTATTGTTTCCAAAATTATTTGGTTAAAAGATCCTTTAGCTAAATAATGTCTATTAGATTACAGAAGAAACTGCTTTGGAAAATACTGCCGTATGAGTATGATTTTTAAAAACAGCATTTTGTGAGCTATGTATCACTAAAATAGGAATCTTTCTTGAGTGAACATATACTAACATTATAATTGAATTTGCCTTGCCTTCTGAACACTGTACAGCCCAGGAGCTATGCTAGTGAATGGGAAAAACTGCAGAACACACTCTTTGCTAGAGGTGAACTGAATTCTGAACCAAGGACTAGTGGCTGATTTTGTCTGAAGGTTTATTTTTCTATATATTCATTATTTTTCAGATCAATACAGGGATAAATCAGGAGTTTTCATGTGGACCTGCTAATGTGATTAAAAGATTATTTGGCGGCCGGCGCCGTGGCTCACTAGGCTAATCCTCCACCTTGCGGCGCCGGCACACCGGGTTCTAGTCCTGGTGGTTGGAGCGCCGGATTCTGTCCCAGTTGCTCCTCTTCCAGTCCAGCTCTCTGCTGTGGCCCAGGAATGCAGTGGAGGATGGCCCAAGTGCTTGGGCCCTGCACCCCATGGGAGACCAGGAGAAGCACCTGGCTTCTGGCTTTGGATCAGCGCGATGCGCTGGCCACAGCACACCAGCTGCAGTGGCCATTGGAGGGTGAACCAATGGCAAAGGAAGACCTTTCTGTCTCTCACTGTCCACTCTGCCTGTTCAAAAAAAAAAGAAGAAGAAGAAGAAGAAGAAATAACCATTGTAATTTATTTTGTATTTCTGTCAAAGTAGAATAATAGTCATTTATTCGAAGTTATTGTCAAGCTGCCTTCTAATGGTACTCTGGGGTATTTATCACAATCTCATAAAAATGTGGATAGCTTTATCTCTTCCAGGAATTTCAGTCATTCATTTGTCATTTTGAGTTTGTTGTAATATATGAAGAATATGATTCATTAAGTGTGGAAATCTTTGGTAAATTCATAGTTATCACATTTTTGTTATTTCTAAGGATTCCAGAAACCAACCAACTTAATTTTAGATTTTGCTTTGTAACAGATGAAAATCTTTCAAGAACATATGGACCTTATCATACATATACAAAGTAAACAGATAGTTCCCTTTAGATATGTGCATTCCATGGACATCTGATACTTGGTTGAGTTGTACTGTCTTAGAAACTAAATGGGCTGTAAAAAGTAGAAAATGTAGTTTTTGATCCTCATGAGGAGATTAGGGAAGAATTCCTTAGTGAAATACTCAGAAAGCCATTCTAAGAAAATTCATTTTGGGGTCCGGTGTTGTAGCATAGTAGGTTAACTTGCTGTCTGCAACACTGGCATCCCATAATGGGTACTGGTTTGAGTCCCAGCTGCTCCATTTCTGATTCAGCTCCCCACTAAAGCATCTGGGGAAACAACGAAAGATGGCCCAAGAGCTTAGCACCTGCTCCCACATGGGAGACCTGGATGAAGCTCCTGGCTCCTGGCTTTAGCCTGTCCCAGCCTTAGCTGCTGCAGCTGTTTGGGGAGTGGGCCAGCTGATGGAAGATCAACCTCTCTGTCTCTCTCATTGTCTCTCTGTCTCTCTGTAACTTTGCCTTTCAAATAAATAAAATATTTTTTAAAAAATTCATTTCTGCATATATGTAGTAAACAAATATTAAGTTTCAGCTTTGTGCCCAGCCCTTACTTTAAGGACTGAGAAATCACACTGATTTCACTTCAGAAATCATGGCCTTTATGGGAAATGTTGTAGTGAGGACACAGACCAAAACCAAAATAAGTAAAATGGATAATTTCTTAGACAATGGCAAGTGTCATGTAGCAAATGAAGCAGAGACAGGGAAATGGGAGTATTAGGGCACTGCAGTTTCAAGTACAGTGGTCAGCGAAGTCGCATGAGAGCAGAAGATGCTGAGAGGAAGCCCTAAAGCACAAGAGGGACTTAGTCCTCAGAATATCTTTGGGTAGATGGTCCCTGGCACATCCGGGTGGAGAAGCAACAGGCAAGTCCATAACCCACTGATAGACACCCGACGTATGTTTGAAGAGCAACAAGGAAGTAAAATGGGTCAAAAGAAGAATAAAGGAAATGAAGGGTGGATTTTATAGCAATAATATAGTAACTCAGTTGATAGTTGATAGTGGCTCAAAGATTTATGATTTATGGTAACAGTGGAGGTGGTAAGAAATCGGAATTTTCTCACAGTTGATTTCCCATTTAAGTAAGTATCATTTTTCATTGCTTTGATCACTAAAGTAATTTGAACATGCCTCATTCACCATTGATTAGTGGTACATCATTAGGAAAAGAAAAATTCAAATAAAATTGTGCGTATCTCAAACTTAAGGAGCATTTCAAAAATGAAATAAGCGCTACTTTATAATTTTTTTAAAACATCTATTTTATTTATTTGAAAGACAAAATGAGAGAAAGAGAAAGAGGTCAATCTTTGATCTACTGGTTTACTTCCCAAATGCCTCAACTCTCAGGCCTGAGCCAGGCTGAAGCCAGGAGTCAGGAACTTTATCCGGGTCTCCCACGGGAATCAGGGTCCTAATCCTTGGGCCATCTTCCACTGTGATCCCAGGTGCATTAGCAAGGAGCCATATCTGAAGCAAAGTAGCTGGAACTCAAACTGGTGGTCTGATATAGGATGCCAGCAGTACAAGCAAGTAGCTTAACCTGTTGTGCCACATTGCTGGCCCCAATTGTTTTATAATTTCTTTACTTGATTTTTAAATTATATTATGTTATTATATTTTGTTTTTTGTAAGTTATATGAAGGGTATATGATATATCTGTCTTGTAAGTTATGAACCTAGCAAATTCTGTTGATCACAGTGTGTCTTTTTCTAGGGAACAAAGAAGGAAGATACTGAAAGTGAAGAAGTGTCTGGTTTAATTCAGCCTGCAGAAGTATTTGCTCCCAAAAGCCTGGTGTTGGTGTCCAGATTAGATTATCCAGAGATTTTTAGGGTAAAGAATTCATAGTTGTCATTACTAATTTGTTATTTTGTAAATCTGCGTTGAGTGAACCATGGAGGAAAGTTCTTTGAAAACTATCATTAGATTGATTTAGAAATTCTACAATAAATTAAAATTAGCCTGAACAGGAGAAACGGCTTCATGGATGAAATGAATGTCCGGCTGAATGTATGTGACTTTTTAAACAAGTTAAAGTTCTAAAACACTAGTGTTTGTCTCTCAAAAGTTCCCATATTTATTGAGACCAAAATCTGTAAGTGCCAAAGAAATAATGTGATTATTTTGATCAGATTTAACATGCATTGGTAAAGTAACAACCTCATATATGTTTACTCACTTTATGAGGGATCCTGCTGAAGTCAGTAGGGTGTGTGTTTGAGATTTCATACAATTCTGATCATGCTACTACCAGCATAGCTTTTAAATGCTTACTTCCAGATATCTTCCTTTTGTTGGTACTAATAATTTTCAAATGTAAGACAAAGTATTTATTTATAAATATTTGCAGTGATACACAATTTTGGGAAATTTTTTTCTAGGAAGTGATATATATGTGTATCTGTATGTATATGTTTGAGAAGAAATAACTTAGTGTCAAGATTTCAATGACAGTGGGTAACCTCTAACAATGCTAAGTTTTCAGTCACAAATTTCATTGAACTGAAAGATTTGTAAAGATGGGATTTTATCATTTATTTTACCATGTGTCTTCCACTGTGCTCGAAGTGTTAGTATTATGTTTTCTTTTTTTTGCTATGCTTTTTTATAATTCATGTAAGTTATATTTTCTATTGAATAAGTGATCTGTATTATAAAAGCCACAAAACAAGACAAAAGTGTTACATTTTGATCTTGATATTTGAAGTAATTTGATAGTTAGCTGAAACAACAGGGCAAAACAGTGAAGCAAAAATGGTTTTAGCCCTACAGATTATCTGAGCACAAACACCTGTTTTACAAATTATGGATTTCTGCTTTCTATAAACTCATCTCAGGAGTTCATTTGGTGGCTCTGGTTCTAAAGGAAAATTTAATAAACGTTTGCTGCTTAAAATTTACTCCATGTTCACCATAGAATATACTTTACTAGGTTCAAAGAGAAATTTTCCTAAGAGCAGATACAATAACAATTTATTTTTAGTGCTTTCTCCATGAAATAACTTCATGCATCTCTCTCTTTGCAGGCCTGCCTGGGTTTGATCTATACTGTGTATGTGGACAGTCTGAATGTCTCCTTGGAAAGTTTAATCGCAAATCTTTGTGCTTGCCTTGTTCCTGCAGCTGGAGGGTCTCAGGTAAACAGAATAGAAAGGAAGATAGAGCCTATTTTTCTCCCTCTCCTCCAGTTAATTTATGAAGAGAGGGAAACAAAGGATTCTTTAACTGTTTTAGTCTTAAATAGGATCCTAGTTTAGTTAAGCTTTGTCCCTATGGTCTATCTTGTAGACACCCAACATTTCATTCTTTTCTTTGGTGATGAGGTTAATTTTAACACACAGTTCACCTTTCATATAGCGTAATTAGAAGTCATATTTTGTTTAACTTGAACTCTAGTTCATATTTTCTTGGAAATAGACTTTTTTAAGCTTAACTTTTAAATATGTTCTTTCTGTTGTTCTTACTTTTATATAGTTCCACCTCGTTTTTTTTTTTTACTTAAAAATGTTTCAGTGATAGAAATTAGAACATTAAGACATTCTCAGCACACTTACCTGTATACCATTTTAATTGCAAGTACTTTTGGATAGACCTCTTTATTCTATATGTCTTAAGAGTTTTGTTTTGTTTCTGAATTATAAAAATAAGAACCTCAACTGTGTTGATTGATTTATTGTTTCTAGAGAAACCAAACTCTGAAAAGAATAGACTCTTCCTTAAATCCTAAAAATGATTAGTTAGTAATTTATTTTGCTTACTTATTCTTTTTTAAGATTTATTTTATTCTATTTGGATGGAAGAGTTACAGAGAAAGAGAGGGAGAGACAGAGAGAAAGATCTTCCACCTACTGGTTCACTCCCCAAATGGTTCACCCCTCCCACGTGGATGACAGGTGCCTGAGAACTTGGGCCATCCTCCACTGTTTTTCCCAAAAAGCTGAATGGGAAGTGGAGCAGGTGTTACTCAGATTGGCACCCATATGTGATGCCAGCAATGCAGGCGGTGGCTTTTTCCACTTCACCACAATGCCAGCCCCTTGCTTATTGTTACATTAGGGAAGAGGACAGCTCTCTAAGAATCATGTGGATAGTCTTCAGTCTGATATCACTTGTAGTGAAATTGACTTTGTTTTTGCAAGGGCTTTGCCTTTTTAAATGCCTTCTTTCTTTCCCAGTGTCTTTGTCTTAAATTTTTATCTTCTTTTTTTTCCTTCTGCTCACTCCTTCTTTTTTTTTTCTTTTTTTTAAGATTTATTTATTTTATTTGGAAGACAGAAATACAGAGAGAGAAGGAAAGAGAGAGATCAGTCTTCCATCTGCTGGTTCACTCCCCAGATGGTCACAACAGCCAGGCTTGGGCCAGGCCGAAGCCAGGAGCCAGGAGCATCGTCTGGGTCTCCCACATGGGTGTAGGGGCCCCAGTACTTGGTCCATCCTCTGCTGCTTTCCCAGATGAAAAACAGGAAGCTGGCTCAGAAGCAGAGCGGCCGAGACTCAAACTGGTGCCCATGTGGGATGCCGGCGTTGCAGGCGGAGGCCTAACTTTTTATGCCTCTGCATGGGCCCCTTTTTCTCACAATTTTTAAATTGTATGTGAAGGGAACAACTCTCATGTATCTGACATATGCAGTTTCAATAGTGCAGTGGTACTTCCCTCCCACCCTTCTCCTCCCTTGCTGCCGCCCTTCCTCTTCCTCCCTTTACTATTTTTCTTCTAATTTTTACAAATGCAGGGTAGTAAATGGGAGTTTGTTGATAGTTAGGGCCAGATTTTAAGAAGCAGAATTGTTTGTTTTATGAGCCTTTACTAAAGTTGATCATTTTAACACTTTACCATTTTTTAGTTAATTAAGAGATTGTCAGTGTTTTTTATGCTTCTGCTCTATTAAATTTTCATTGACTTCTGACTTAAACCATTTTCAGTATATAAAGCAATGTGGATGTTATAGACTATTCATTGGTATTGATTGCATGTTAATTGGTTCTTTATGTGGCCATTTGTTCTAAATTTGAACTGCAAAGGGATTTTTATTTCAAGAAAAAGTGAAATCATTTGTATGTGTATGTTTCTCCGATTCTGTAGAAGCTGTTTTCCTTGGGTGCAGGAGATCGGCAGCTGATCCAAACTCCTTTACATGATAGTCTTCCTGTCACAGGCACTAGTGTGGCTCTCCTGTTTCAGCAATTGGGTATGTCTTTTTCTTCCAGTTTCAATGTCTTCTTATAGAAGCCTATGGAAAAAAATTACATTCACATCATCTGACATCAGTTAAGAAACTATAGAACAATCATTAAATATCTCTCCCCAGCTTAAGAGGGTAGGAAACAGAGAAGAGCAGAGTTCATTTAGCAAGTTTTGGCTGTTGAGGGGGCTGCCTGCCTGAGAGACTTGATTCTGTGTCATCTCATTGAGAGCACAAGCACTGGTGCAGTCTACATGTGTGGTGTGGCTAAGTACAAGAAGGGAGGTAAGGATGCTTGCAGTGTGTTGCACAGCTTGCTGCGATTGTAAGAAAGCATGTAACTTGAGATTTATCCCTCGGGAGGGAGAAGAGCATCCACTCTTGTATCTTTTTGGAGAGCTACCAATGCGAAGATACAAAGAAGGTAGAGCTATTATTCTTTGCTATTAAGAATTAAGTATATTTGCTGTTAAGACAAAAGTATAGCTACCTTGGAATAGTTTGACTTTTTTTTAAAGTTAAATAAACTCTATGTTCCAGCCATTCTACCCCTAGGTATTTAACCAAAGAAAATGATGATACATGTCCATAAAAATATTCATACTGAAATGCTCTTAAGCATTGTATTTATAGTAGTGGAAACTGAACACAGGTTCAGGGTCCATCAGTGGTAATGTGTCAGTGATAATGGGAATGGATAAAAGTCCCTGGTATATCCAAACAGTGGAATACTATTAAGCAATACAAAGGAATGAATCATTCATACATACAACATATATGAACCTGAAAATGTTTATGCTAATGATCAGTTTCTGTTAAGTTCTGAAAAATGTAATATAATCTGTGATAGCAAAACCAACTGGTATTGTAGGCAGGAAGAGAGATTACATAGGAACATGAGGAAACTTTTTGGATGATGTTTGGGTTCATAATCTTAATTGTGGCAGTGGTTTTACAGATATATAGGTAATCAAAATGTGTCAAATTCTAAAAGAAAATTGAAAACATTTACACAAACATTTGTAGATGAGTGCTCACAGCAACATTATCTGTAACAGAAAATGGGAACTGGCATCATGTTGCAATGGGCTAAGCCACTGCCTGCAACACCTGGTATCAGTTCAAGTTCTAGCTGTTCCTCCTCTCATCCAGCTCCCTGCTAATATTCCTGGGAAAGCAGCAGAAGATGGTCCAAGTATGTGGGCCCCTACATCCACGTGAGAGACCTGGAAGAAGCTCCTGGTTCTCAGGGTCGGCCCAGCCCAGCCCCGCCCCAGCCGTTCTGGCCATTTGGGTAGTATACCACTGGATGGAAGATTTCTCTGTGTATCCCTCTCTATATCTCCACCTCTCAGATACATAAATCTTAAAAAAAAAAAAGAAAAGAAAAGAAAGAACAGAAAGGAAGAAAATGGAAATAAACCAAATGTCCGCTACTGAATGGATAAGCAGATTTTGGCGTATCCACACAATGAAAAATTTTTCAGCCAGAGAAAGGAATGGAATATTGATACATGCTATAATATAGATGAATCCTGAAAACACACTAAGTGAAAGAAGTCAAACAACAAAAGGCCACATATTGTGCGTTTCCACTTTTATATGGTTTCCAAAACAGGAAATCCATGGAGAAAATAAATTAGTGGTTACCAGGGGCTGGGGAGAGAGTGGGCACAGGAATGTGACTGCTGGTACATGTGGGGTTTCTCTTGTGGGATGAAATTGTTCTGAGTTAGATATGAAATAACTTGTGACTATACCAAAAACTACAGAATTGTACATTTTAAACTGGGTGAATGCTGTGATGTTGATTTGTATCTTGATAAGGAAAAAACTGTTTGGGCCTTATCAAAAGAACTGAGGAGCCTTCTACAAGAGCCTTGCAGCTGATCTAAAATGGGAGAATTTTAGCTTCAAAAAGTATAATAATTGCTGTTGGTTTTAAAATAGCAGTTGTTTTAAGATTCATGAATTCTTACGTTAGAAGGGAATTGTCAGGGCTGGCGCCGTGGCTCACTTGGTTAATCCTCTGCCTGAGGCGCCGACATCCCTTATGGGCACTGGGTTCTAGTCCCAGTTGCCCCTCTTCCAGTCCAGCTCTCTGCTGTGGCCCGGGAGTGCAGTGGAGGATGGCCCAAGTGCTTGGGCCCTGCACCTGCATGGGAGACCAGGAGAAGCACCTGGCTCCTGGCTCCTGCCATCGGATCCCTCTCTCCCTACCTCCCTCCCTCCCTCCCTCCCTCCTTCCCTCTCTCCCTCCCTCTCTCCCTCCCTCCCTCCTCCCTCTCTCCCTACCTCCCTCCCTCCCTCTCTCCCTCCCTCCCTCCCTCCCTCTCTCCCTCTCTCCCTCCCTCTCTCCCTCCCTCCCTCCCTACCTACCTCCCTCCCTCCCTCCCTCTCCTTGGCTCTCCCTGGCTCTACCTCTCTCTGTAACTTTTGTCTTTCAAATAAATAAAATAAATATTATAAGGGGGGGGGAATTGTCACCTACCTCAGAATATGACAAGGAACTAATTTCTTATCTTGAAAACTTAACAATGAATGAAATAATGAGATCAGGTAATCCAAGAGTAGATTAGGAGAATTATCTTTTTTCAAAATTACCTTAATTAATAAATGGTAAAGCAGTGATGAAGGTACAAGCATCAGCAGCTGTTAGCACAAAAAGAAAATCAAATACTAAATTCCTATTCTTGCCAGACAGTAGCAGTAGATTTGGTAGAGAGATAAAACCTGAATTTGATGACAGGAAATAGAGAAGACAGAGGCACACATTGAACTGCACCAACAGAATGTAATTATAAAAATCCAGGCTCTCAGAAACTGTCAGTTGAAAATTCCAGGTTCTTTAGCCAATAAATTGTAGGGAGAAAAAATGAGAGGAGGAGATTAAAAGACATGCTATGGGTTCGGTGCTGTGGTGCACTAGGTTAATCCAGATGTGAGTCAGCATTCCATATGGGCGCCGGGTTCTAGTTCTGGTTGCTCCTCTTCCAGTCCAGCTCTCTGCTGTGGCCTGGGAAAGCAGTGGAGGATGGCCCAGGTGCTTGGGCCCCTGCAGCTGCATGGGAGACCAGGAAGAGGCACCTGGCTCCTGGCTTCAGATCAGCGTAACCCCAGCTGTTGAAGCCATTTTGGTGGTGAACCATCAGATGGAAGACCTCTCTAATCTGTCTCACTGTCTATAACTCTACCTGTCAAATAAATAATTAAAAAATCTTTTTAAAAAAAAGACATCCTATTATTTAATAGAATGAGACTGAACTATAGCATCAGGATGCATTTGTTGGTGGTCGGGGTGTGTGGTGACACAGAAAATTGGTTAAGTCAAATGGTTACCTAAAGCAGTAGAGACAGGTTATGACTGAGGGGCTTGCAGGGTTGCTGATAAAGTTCTCTTTCTTGACATGGGTGATTTTTTTAAGATAACTCACTAAGCCGGTTTTTTTATTTGTGAGATTATCCTATCTGTGTTTAGTTTGACAATAAAAATACATTCTTAAAAAACTTGGAAAATCATTTAACGTTTTCTAGGTATACCTGTTGTGGGCCTAACTATCTCAATTTTTATTCCAAGTTATTGCCCCCACAGAGATAAGAATTCAAAGCAGAGGCATAAATATAGCTCACAGTGAAAGCAGGATTTATTTAAAAGTGAGAGAGTAAATATGCTTTCTTTTTTTTTAAAAGATTTATTTTATTTATTTGAAAGTCAGAGTTACAGAGAGAGGAAAAGCAGAGAGAGAGAGAGAGAGAGGTCTTCCATCCGTTGGTTCACTCCCCAGGTGGCTGCAATGGCTGGAGCTGCGCCGACCCGAAGTCAGGAGCCAGGAGCCTGGAGCTTCCTCCAGGTCTCCCATGCAGATGCTTTCCCAGGCCATAGCAGTGAGCTGGATCGGAAGAGGAGTTGCCGGAACTAGAACCGGCGCCCATATGGGATGCCAGCGCTTCAGGCCAGGGCCTTAACCCACTGCGCCACAGCACCAGCCCCGAGTGAATATGCTTTCACACAAGCATGTGGGCAACCCCACACCAAGAGATACTTGCCACGAGTGGGCCAGAGAGATCTGTCTGTGAGGAGAGAGCATGGGAAGAGGCCAGAGTAGGACCCAAAAGTAAGGTCCAGAATCTACAAGCAAAAAAGGCCAATCTCACATGGATTATCGTGCCTTTTATGAGGTAGGGGCATCATATCTAATTGAATATCCAAGTGGGCTGGCGTGTGGGTGGGATTTATTGTATAGGAGGCTGTCTGGGAGTTTCATGGCACTTCAACTTGGAGCTTAACTTCCATGTGGCCATCATGAGGTCTCCATTATGGTCCTGGATGAGGCACAGTGACTGTGTGGGAAAGTGGGCATAGTGGATAACTGGACACAGGTAACAACAGGTGGTGTTACAACACAGGGCTGGCATACATTGTGATTCCACCTCACCTGTTCTTACCTAATCTTTTCGATTAGTTCCTTTGTATCAGACCTAACTTCGTTTTTTAAAAATACCTTAAAAATTACATGGCTTGAGCAAATTAAAATTTTATCCTTCTCACATAAATTGATTGTAGGTAGGCAGTCTAGGTTCCAGGTTGCTTGGGGATGATACTGAAATTCTGTCTGATGATTTTCCCCTGTTTGTTTATGGGACATTTTCCCTCATTGGACTGTGAGCTTCAGGAACAACTCCATCTTATTATTCTTGTGTCTTCTGTATCTAGCACAGTGCATGAAGCACAAAGGCTGTTCATTAGTGTCTATCGAGTAAACAAATGACAGGATGGAAGTCATACCTCATTAGATTCTTTCTTTTTTTTTTTTTTAAGATTCTTTTATTTTATTTGAAAGTCAGAGCTACACAGAGAGAGAAAAAGAAGCAGAGAGAGAGAGGGAGAGGTCTTCCACCTGCCGGTTCACTCCTCAATTGGCCATAGCAGCCAGAGCTGTGCCAATCCAAAGCTAGGAGCCGCCTCCGGGTATCCCACGCAGATGCTGGGAGGAGCCCAAGTACCT